GCCCCTTACGGCTGTCCTCTGTCCTTTCGCTTTTGTTTCCCCGGCGACCGCCCTCCTCCGTAGCCCCGTCTGGAACTCTGCGGGGCTTTCCTGGGCACCCGGTGTCCTGCTCCGCCCTCGGGCAGCCGGACCTCGGAATTTTCCGCGTTACCGAGCTCAGAAAAGGCACTGCTGCCGACAGGGAACGGCGCGGTAATGACGAGGGACAGGTTTTACAGCTCTGCTGCGTTTCCTTGTTGTGGCATACGTTGGACGGCTTGTATTGGTAGCAAGAATGAGAAGTATGTTAAAGCCTGAGAAAGGAAAGCTGCGAATAATGCTTTTATCAGGCAAAAAAGTCTTGTTTCTGGAGGAGTCTTGTTTGGTACTTGTTAGACACAAGCTTTTAACTTTTCATTATCATTTCTAGCATAGCCTGAAACAGAAGGATGTTTTTGAAGTGAGTTGCATGCTGGTTGGAGGCATGTTTAAGTGTTGATGTATTTTTCCTAAGATAGCATTTAAAAACATTAAATAGCTGTTATGTCAGCATATCTAAGATGCTCTGCTCAAGTGATTCCAAACCTGGATGTTTGACCCTCCTTTTAATTTCAGAGGAGTTTCCAAAGCTTAGGTCTTTGCTGATGATTTGTTGGATTTCGCTACGGTGTCGTGTACTGTCTGCGTAGCCAAGTGTCAGCTGTGCACGCTGGCTTTGCAGCTGCTTGGTTAAAAGCCTGGGCTGCTCACTGAAGGTGGTGGCAGCTTTACACTTCTGCTGAAGAGCTGTGGCAAGCTGAGGAGTCACTGTGTGTCTGCTCTAACCGGGGAAAGGCAGCAGGGATTGGCATCCATGATGCTTTCTGAAAGAGGCTGTTGGAGCTTTTAAAGACAAACAAAGTACAACACAACCTCAAGTATACTAATGTTAGTCTTCCTGAAGACTAGATGGCAGTGTTAGTTTATGTGAAATACTTCCTCTGCGTAAAAGAGAAAAGAAGATGCCTTTGTTGTTACCAGTGGTATTAAGCTTCAACATGTAAGCTTTAGCATGTTTCCCCATCTTCTTTTCTCTGCCAGATCACTTGAATATACAGACTGACACATACTGGCATCTAGAGTAGGATTTTTGCTTGCTATTGTGGAAGAAACTACGAAGAGTAAAAGACAATTCCTATGTAAAACACAACATTGTTTTTAAATTATTACAGCTGTGCTCCTTAAAAGGTCATCTCTTTTCCATACATGTTGCTTCTATGTAAAAGCTTTAGTTTTCACCTCTTTAGAATGCTGCCTGTGCAGTTCCCAGTTCTCTTCTTGTCCGAAAGTAGTGTCTCTGTTGGTGATGTGGTGTTTGAGCATGTTGAGAGCAGTTTGGTTACTGAATTTAACTGTGCTGAGGATCACGATGCACAGCAGAAGACTGGTTATTGCGGGTGACTGAAGATCCTTCCTGACCCTGCCTCTTGTTTCTTCTCTTTGTTATTCCTCTTTCTGAAACAGAGTTATGTTTTCCTTGCGTCTGGATGATAGATACAAATCTATTAACCTGCCTTGCAAAATTGTGTGAAGAGGTGTCAGCAGCAGTACTACAGAAAATCACAAAACGTTAGCAGTGCCTTTTTCCAGGTGTAACAGCAGGAGCATTTCTGTGAACAGTCGTATTGGTGGATTAAAGACTTGATTTGTGTATTGCAAATTGCTCTTGTGCATGCTTGGTGGTTTTTAGTAACAAGAAGGTACACGGTGGCCCCTTTGCTTCATACGTTTAACAGGGTTTTGCTCTATACGTTGCTTCTGCACATTCTGGAAAGGGCATTTTCTTTAAAAAAAGTTGGACTCCTACAGATCAGGCTGTTGGAAGAACGGAGAACTAGATAGGAAAAGCCAGGTATGGAAAGTGTGGGAAGGAAACGGATGTTTTCACTGGTACGTTTACTGTCTGTGGTGGTAATTGCCACTCTAGGCTCACAGGTGGCTCTTGGCTTAGCTGGAGGCAGCACGCAGTGGTCACAGGAGGAGCTGGTTAACAGGGGGAGAGCCCTAAAGCTGCTTGAGCTGGCTTTGCTTTTGAAATACTGTTGGAAACAGCATATTCAGTTTTGTGGTTTTATTGCTTTTAGTGCAGCTATGCAGGACTGAATCTGAAATGTGTGGGGTTATAAAAAAATTACCAGTTCCTGAAAAGTGTGATTTTTATTTGCTTTTCTTTTATACAATGTTGAAGACTGGCTGAGCACAGGGGAGAGCAGTACTGAGGTACCAGAAGCAGTCAGGATAGGGTAGGAATTTGTTCAGCTGACTTTTTTCACTGGGAAAATCATCATAATGGGTTGCAAGTGCAGACAACCCTGCAGCCAGTCAGGATAATCTCGGCCCATTGGCATGCAGCAGGGTGCAGGGAGGTCGTCCCACCTCAGCTCATTTCCAGAGTTCATTCCTCCCAGCCAGGCCTTGGGCAGGGATTGCATTGTGTCAGCTGTCCCCAGATGGGTTCTGACTGTGGCTTTTGTAGATTCCAGAATTTGACAACTTATACCTGGACATGAATGGCATCATACATCAGTGTTCGCATCCAAATGATGATGATGTTCACTTCAGGATCTCAGAAGATAAGATTTTTGCTGATATTTTTCACTACTTGGAAGTGCTGTTTCGCATCATTAAACCAAGGAAGGTTTTCTTCATGGCAGTCGATGGAGTGGCTCCAAGAGCAAAAATGAATCAGCAGCGTGGGAGACGTTTTAGGTGAGAATATTTGTTCTTGGTATGTCTTTCAGATAGTAAAGACTTAAAAAAAATACTTGAATGTGTGCCACAGAAAGTAAAATATGAGTGGTCTTAGCTTTGACAGTAGCTTTAATTTTTAGTTAATTGAGGGTAACTACCTCTAAAATGTTAATACTTAGAATCAAGATTCCAAAAAGGAAAGTTTGCTTGTTACTTAAACTCTTCTCTCTGTATGTGGGACTTGGAGCAGCTTTTTTCCTATGAAATTTTCTGTAAAGTGCATCTGCAGTAGAGCTTTTACAGGTGTCTCCAATGGCTGCATAACCCGTGAGAGTCTGGTATTTGTGAATGCTAATTCTAGTTATGCCTTTTTGGTAACTAGAGAGACTGTCAAAGAACATTCTGTTATAATGAAAATCTGGTTTCCTGTTGGTACCACTTAGCGACCTCGCTCAAATACAGAGCTGCAGATGGATTTCAGTGTTAAGAGTTACACGAATGTTTTGGGAGATGTGAAAGTTTCTTTGGAGACCGCTATAGGGAAAGCAAGCCAGTGGTCAGGCAGTGCAGGGATGGTGAGTGAGCTGGGACAGAACAAACTTGGGGGGAAAGGGACAAGAGAAAATATTTTCAAGCTGCTGGGGTTTTTCACAGGTTTTGTTGTTGGTCGGGTTTTGGTTAGTTTGTTTTGGTTTTTTTTAAGGAAAAACGTTTGAGTATAAGAAGAGACTTTTAAAGTTCTAACTAGAAAATTGGAGTGCAATTGAGAAGCACAGAAATCTGAGACTTTGGTGGCTTCTGTTTTTCTGGTTCAGAAGTGTTTAGGAAGCCCTTGGCTAGGGAAAGCTAGGACGATATTTGTACATTTCTTTCTCCATTACTAGTGATGTTAAATTTTTAGTTCACCTCTCCTGCCCCCATGGTATTCCCAACTTGCTGCTTTAACTGTATTACAGTTACTCTTCTGGGATAGCATTTTGAGTGTTCCTACTGTTTGAACATTATATTTGTTTTCAGTGTGATCAGCTATTGAGCGATCATCTTGGTAATCTAAGTACTAACTGTATCTGAGCAATGTTTATCATTACTAAGGGAGAAAAAAGGCATTTTTTTAAGCCTCGTAGTTATATCAGAAACAAGTTCAGTCTATTCAGGAGTTAAATTTCTCTCCTCCCCCCACCTTTTTTAAACGGTCTTTGAAAAATAAGCTGTATGTATTTTGTCAGTAAAGCTGTACTTATATTAACATTGGAATAAGATTAATTCTTTCTCTGCTGTCTCTCCAACCCATTTTTGTTTTAGATCAGCAAAAGAGGCAGAGGACAAAATAAAAAAGGCATTAGAAAAGGGAGAAACACTCCCTACAGAAGCCAGATTTGACTCCAACTGTATTACACCAGGTAAGATAATTTGTTACTTATTTACATTTAAGTATTTAGATTTGTCTTTTTACATCTATGTCTTGGAACTATTTTCTTATGCTAAGGCATTTTTTTTTCTTTAAATTAGAGGACAGAATTGATAAAGGCTCAAGTAAGTTGGAGACACAAGATTTAATAACTTCTAGTAGGGTTGAAATACTGTCTTATTCTAAAAGCTTTTTAGATTCCTGTAGAGAAAGTGAAGCCTCCACACAAAACATCCCTTCAGCTCTTGCAAAATTTTTACTTGTTTTTCATTAATGCTTTTGATATGCAAATGCAGTTTTGAATGACTAGTGAAAAGCTTTATGTTTAACTAAGATTTCTGTTTTCAGGAACTGAATTCATGGCCAGGTTGCATGAGCATCTTAAATACTTTGTGAATATGAAGATTTCCACAGACAAATCCTGGCAAGGAGTAACAGTCTACTTATCAGGCCATGAGGTCACTGTATTTTAATAATATTTTATTTTAAATTATTTTTAAAATAGAAAATTACTGATTAATTTGTTGGGTTTTTTTTGCTTTGCAGACTCCAGGGGAAGGTGAGCATAAAATAATGGAGTTCATCAGATCAGAAAAAGCAAAGCCCCATCATGATCCAAATACAAGACACTGTCTCTATGGCTTAGATGCTGACTTGGTATGTGCAATAAAAATAAGACAACAGGAGTTATAAAGTGTGTGTCTTTAATGCCTTCCTAAGCACATAGGATTCTAAAATATTTTGTGTTCCTGCAAACTTCTGAATTTGTCATGAAACAGAACAGCAAAACTTATACTGCTTGAATCTTGAATAACAGTTTAAAAAATAATATAGTAATACCTTTCTAATATCTCTTTGTAATAGATCATGCTGGGATTAACAAGTCATGAGGCGCACTTTGCACTCTTAAGAGAAGAAGTCAGATTTGGTGGTAAAAAATCTCAAAGGTGAACTGATTTAACTTTACTCTTATTTTATGTATGATGAATTTAAATCCCACTAAACCGGGGTTTTTTTGTTGGTTGCATACTAAATTAATAAAATCTTACTTTATGTTTGTGTTAGAAAATACATGAAATGAGAGAAATCGGCTTGTTCGGATGTGCATTTGGTTTAGTTTACGTGAGAAAATGTGTTCTGTCAGGACAGCTGATATGAAGAAAAATCCCTAGAGCTTTAGTGCGTTGTGCTTCTTTCTTCATACGATGAGTGGGGCAGCTCAGGCTCTACTGGCATTGTTCCTGTAATTATCTTATGCAGATAATGACCTATTAAACGTTATTTAGAACTCTGAGGTTTTGTGTATGTAAGTAAATACCAGAATGATTACTAAAATAAATTATTTTAAAAATGCTGACTGGATGCTCTTATTCTGGAGTGGCCGGTCTGAACTAAGGACCAGAATCAGTCAGGAAAAGGTGATCTGTTCCAGAACTGTGCGTGTTCATGGAGTTGTTCTGAAGTAATAGAAAAATTAATTCTGTAACTGTTACTGTGGCCAGGTTCCTTCTCTGAAGGACTTGTTTGGTGGATATAGGGAGAAGGCAGGAGAGACAGAGAGAAATACACTCTTGATTCAAAAAGGAGTTTGGATAATACAGTGATTGTCATACAGATGTTTAGATAAATGATTCATTTTTGCTAATAAACGAGTGTTTTTGTTGCCACGGACGATATGATAAACATCAGACGTAAATATTCTTTTCATAGTCTTCCACAGTCAACTTTTCACCAGTGTTCATTCTGTTGATAGTGTTGCCACGTAACATTGTAGTGTTTTTAAAAGACCTTAAGTCTGATCAAAGAAAAATGTCATTTTTCCCTTTTTAAAAAAGAAAATAATATAAAATGAAAGTGTGACAGTGTTTTGAGGGATTAATTAAATAACGTATGAAATCAAAATGCAAAGTGTCATTATTTTTTTTTCCCCTCAAACACTGTTCCCTATTTGGCTGTTGTTGTAATTTCTGCATAATATTGCTTATTACAGGAATTTACTTCTGGAAGTTACAGGAATTGCCTTCTGTCAATAGTGTCACTTTTATGAGTACTTAGAGTTGGAAATTTGAAAATACTAAAAATACGTACAAATCGGTGTCTGTCAGCAGTTTCTTGATTGAGAGAAATCAATTGATTTTCCAGGATTTTCAAGTCCAGTACAATGAACAACAAGGGGCAACGTGTCTCTGGAGTCTTGACAAATTCAGCCTGATGCTCTAATATGAAAATTACTCTTTAAAAGTGACGGAATTGGGTCTGAAGTTGTATGTAACCAAATGTAACTCAGAGTTTGTCTTAGTAGTCTCCATATAAGTGTGTTTATCACACACATCTTCCTCAGAGGACTGTGGCCAAAATCTACTATGCATACGTGAATACACAGGTGGTTATGCTGGTTTGTCGTGGAGGTGGTCCCAGCCAGTTACAGCACCTACAAGGTGAAATAGTCCTTTCAGAATTTAAAACGCATTAATCTTTTGGTGTAGGTATTAACTGATTTTGGCCTAATGTTGGCTTACTATCAGGTAATTGTAGTGAAAAGAAGGCAGAATCTATGTTGACCAATTTATGCCGTAAACAGTAGGTTTGTGATTATTTTGGTGCTCTGTTGGAGCCACTAGGTAACACATATGGGGCATATTTTCCCAGTTGAACATACTCTTTTCTTACAAGAAGTATTTCAGATTGACTGCAAATGTAACCCAGACAGTTCAGACGTGAATCTGTGCACTCTGGATGTACTTAGGGTAGTTCTAAAATACCTTCACGTTTATTTGGTTTGGTGCAAAGTTCGATTAGGTTGTCCCTATTTTGGACAATGGGATAATTACTTAGGAAATAGTTAATGTAACGTGGAACTCCACAAAGCTGCCCTGCTTTCTCTAAGCTAGCTGTTTTCCACACAGTGCAGTCACATCTGCTGTTCAGAAGATTCTACTGCAAAATTTTATAGACTTAAAGCAGATGAATCCTAAAATAGATTCAAAGGAGTTTTTCTACATTATTTCTTCTGCAAAGATGTAAATCCTATTAAGATTACTTGGTTTTAGGTAACCTTGGACTTATTAAATATTCATGTTAGAAATGTGTTTATAAATAATTAACTTAATGTTTTGAATAATTTACAGAGCATGTGCACCAGAGGAAACCACATTTCATTTACTGCACTTATCACTGATGAGAGAATATATTGATTATGAATTTTCACCAGTAAAAGTAAGTTCTAATGGAGCTATGATTGAAAAAATATGAGGCCTTTTTATGCGAACATGATAATAAAAATTATATTCTTGTGTGTTTTTATTTTTCTTTTTTTTTTAACACTAGGACAAGATTTCCTTTGAATATGATATTGAAAGGATAATAGATGATTGGATCTTAATGGGTTTCCTTGTAGGAAATGATTTTATTCCTCATCTACCTCATTTACACATTAATCATGATGCACTGCCGCTACTTTATAGAACATACATGGCTATCTTGCCAGAACTGGGAGGTAAAAACACTAAGTTCAGTTGTGGGAAGTAGAAACATTAACATTCCTGTGTTAATATTTATTGACCTTTCTAGCCATGTTAGAACGTTTAGCATTTATTACCCTTTTTTTGGATGACGAGCAAGATTGCATTCTGTTATCTATGGGGCAATTAAATTGAAATTGTTAAATTGTTAATTTAAAAAACATGCTTTATCTTCCCAATAGGTTACATTAATGAAAATGGGCATCTGAATTTAAAACGCTTTGAGAAATATCTCACAAGATTGTCAGATGTAAGTAACTTGGAAATTGCACTGTGTAGAACAGCATAGTCTGTTTGATATAAACTCAATATAGTGCCCTAAAATACATCATCCTGTGGTTTTAATGAACTGTTAAATGACTGTGTTTTACAAGTGGTTGTCAGCTATTTTTTCATTTAACTGATGAGATCCAATCAGTTGTCTGATCTTACCATAGGATAAGAGGAAGAAGATTAAATCATTTGATCTATGCTTTAGCCAGCATCTTTTAGTACTGCAAGTTAAATGAGGATTCACCAGTAGAACCATGGTCCTAAATTCTCACTGAATAATGAGCAGCAGTATTGGGCACAGCGTGCGGCAGGCAATATTTTTTGCTTCCCATGCTGGTCCGTTTCTTGTGGGGTAAGCCATGTCTGAAGATCTTGTCAAAGGTGTAGGCCAGGTAGAAATGGAAAGGTGTCAGCCTTCTGCTGGGCTCGGAAGGAGGAAGTTCATCTGCTGTCCCTGCTTCAGCCCCATCTTCTGATTATTGGGTAGAAGTATGAAACTGCTGGGGGTGTGGCACAAGACTGCATTACCCAGGCCCTATATACTTTTACTGCTTGTGGAGTCGACAGTGAAGCGTGGAAGTTACCTCACTGTTTTTGTTAATCATTGCTGCCCTACTGAAAGAAAATAAAATGGGACTTGGGTAAATGCTGTATATTGCTAAGAAAATGTTTTTAATATTAATCTGTGACTTTAGTTGTAGCTCTAGGGTAAAATGTTTATGTGCAAATGACCCTTGATGTAATCTAATGCATGTACTAAAAAGATACCGTTAATTTAGCACTCTAAATATTTCTAAACTTCCTTTAATCTGTCTGCATAGTTTGATCGTGAACACTTCAGTGAAGTCTCTGTAGACCTGAAATGGTTTGAAAGTAAAATAGGCAATAAATACCTCAACGAGGCAGCTGGTATTGCAGCAGAGGAAGCCAGAAAAAAGAAGCAGAAGAAGCAAAAGGTTAGTAGGTTACATGCACAACTCGGAAATAAGAACGTAAATCAGTAATTTGATCTTAGAGAAACTAAATGGCATAAACCTCTGTTTTGAGATCAGAAAAGATAGTTAAAGGCAACATTTGAGGAAATGCCTGTATGCATTGCTGGTTGTGAGTGATTAAATGGTTCTCGTTATTTTTGAAATCCTGTAAACCCGTAACTTAATGCTTTACGTAAATTCATCTGTTCTTCAATAGCAGCAAAACTCAATTCTGGGTGAGTTACAGTCAAACTTGCTATGCCTTATAGTTTTACATTTCAGTGTAGCCTGCTGGAAATGTTACGTATTTCAGATACAGCGATAGATCATTCATGCATGTCTTTGTCAAATAGTCAGCCAATACCATGAATAGATAAATAGCAATTTCATTCATGAGCTGTCTCAGTTTGGTTATTAAACTTGCAATTCTAGATACAACTCATTAATAAAGAACAGCTGCTTTCTTTCTGTCATGACTCTGCCCTGCAGTAATGCGAGGGCAGGAACCACACCAGCACCTCCACTGGTTATCCTTCAGTCTAGGCCTTCAGCCGAGCATAGAGCAGCAGCAGGAGAGTCCTTCAAGTTTCATATGTCACTGAATATTGTTACCCTGTCCTTTAGTGCCGTTTGCGGTTTGTCAAGAGCAAGCATCTCTAATAAGATATGCTTTATTTGTGGTTGTTTTCTTACTTGTCACAGAAGTTTGGAGCAGCTGTATAGTACAAGTTAGCTATCTTAACTGTTCCTTTGAATGGCAGTGACAGTAAGGAGCTTGCATATCTCAGGTGCAGGGTAAGAGAGCCAACATAATGAGTCTGCTTGTTGAAGGCTACTTGGTGCTGTATCCAAAAGACAGTGTGTAGTGTGAATGAGGTGAATGTTTGGTTTGTTTGATGTTCTAAAGCACAATTTCTTGTATCCTTCCCACAAAAGTAATTTGAACCCTTAAAAATGTACTGATAAAAATGTGACTGCATTATTGGTGCTGTAGTACAATGCATGATGTAGGTAAAAATGGTTAAATATGTACTGCACAGTTTTGGAAATAGTTCTATTTTAGGAAAAAAATACTCATGTTTTTTAAAGGTAGTTGAGATTTTATCTGAGACTGCCCCTTTGTCTGGTCTGTATGGATACAATAACTTTCCTTGGGCAGTTACAAGAGAAGGAAATGTAGTGGGTTTTATGCTAAATAATAACGTTTATACATTGTGATTGTAGCATTTTATGTTGCAGATTATGGTTGTGAATAAGGTATGTGCATATTGTTCTGTATTTTTACTTTATCTCAAATATTAATTTAATAGGCTCAGGAAAATTCTATATGTCTGGCTGCTTTAGAAAAAAATGAAGGTGAAGTGACTCCTAAAAGTAAGTGCAAATAATTTTTCTGTGTACAAAAAATGTGTTAATTTGTGCATAGATTTAGAAGATCTGTAAGAATTTCATGTCAGAGATGAGCTTTATCTAGGTAAGAGTTATGTAGTCAGCTATTGGGAAATGGATCTGCACATCGCTGGCTTATGGTGAGAGGGAGTGGGGCTAAAGCTTTTGAAGTGCATCTTACCTGACCTGTATTTCCTTAATGAATTAAAGGGATGAATGAGCAAATCTTCAACAACGTCGTGTTTTTGATACTTGTATGCCTAGGTACTTTGTTTTACAGGTGGGGACAAATGAACATTTTTATATGGCTTTGGAGTTTTTAGTTGTGTTGACTCTGTTTTTAAACTCACTCCACTCGTTGGAAATGTCTTTTGCTCAGGTTTTGATTTCCAATGTCAACAATGTATAATTATTACTCCATGGTATAAGATGATGTTGCTAAAAAGAGATTAAATTTAAAAATTAATTTTAATATTTTTCTTAAATTATTTTCTGGTGGCTTATATTCTCTTCTTTGTTCTTGTAATTGGGGTATGGAACGGGTTGCCTGTCTTTAAAGGAAAAACGTTTCAGAGTTTCTGTGGGTGAAGATGTTTTTACTGTTTCACGTTGCTTTCAGTGCAAGGAAGGGACGAGCACCTGTAACTGTGAATTGAGGAGTGAAGTTAAGGCGTTACATCAAAACTGAATGTTTTCTCATTTATTGTAGTAGAGCAGTAAACGTTAATCCTTTTTTTTATGACTACTTTTTCAGCCATATTGGAAGATGAAGCAGAAGACGATGATCTGTTCGAAACAGAGTTTAGGCAATACAAAAGAAATTACTACATGACTAAGATGGGTGTAGAAGTAGTTTCTGAGTAAGTGTATTCTTTTTTTCTCTTTTTTTAAACACCAAAGACAAGTCTTTGCATATGTCCAACACGAGACAGAATTCTTGTCTGTGTTGAGAGCATAGAACACATGCCAGCATACCGCAGCAATGCTGCTTTTGGCTAATGCAAGAAGGGCTGCAAGGCAAGCTTTCTGTAGAAGGTATTTGAAGACCAGAGAGAAAAAATCCATTAGTATTAAATTAATCTAGAAAACCATGGTCGTACTAGGGTTCCACAATGCCTTATCTTCACTCCTGTGTACGAAATGCTAAGTAATCTTGTATATACCAGTGAAAATGAGAAGAACTAATAAGTACATGTGCTTTTTCTTTTAAGCGACTTCTTGGCTGATCAGGCTGAGTGTTATGTCCAGGCAATACAGTGGATTTTGCATTATTACTACCATGGAGTTCAGTCGTGGAGCTGGTAAGGAAAATAGTCAAATGAGAAATTGCTTCAATATTGAGCAAAATTTCACATTGTATGCTAGGAGCATTTAATGTAGTTCTGTTTGTTTCTGATCCGTGAACACTCCTGCGCTATAATGAAGTCAAGTAACTTACAAGATTATTTTTTTTCCCTGCAGGTATTATCCTTATCATTATGCACCCTATCTGTCAGATATTCGCAACATTGGTGAACTCAAAATCAAATTTGAACTGGGAAAACCTTTCATGCCTTTTGAACAGCTTCTTGCTGTACTTCCAGCAGCTAGCAAAGATCTGCTACCTAAATGCTACCAGGTAGGATTTAGATTTAAACTGCATTTATCTGTTGCTTACTGATTGTCTCCTTTATTTTGAAGAAACTATTTTCTTGATATTTTTGCATGTCCTCTTAGCTAGCTGGTTGTCCTTTGACAGCTGGCTGAACATGAGCCAGCAGTGTGCCCTGGTGGCCAGGAAGGCCAAAAGCATCCTGGCCCATATCAGAAATACTGTGACCAGCAGGTGTAGGAAAGTGATTGTGCCTTGGTACTTGGCACTGGTGAGGCTGCACCTCTGGTGCTGTGTTCAGTTTTGGGCCCCTCACTACAAGAAGGACATTGAGGCACTGGAGCTTGTCCAGGGAAGGACAACAAAGCTGATGAAGGGCCTGGAGCAGAAGCCTTATGAGGAGCAGCTGAGGGAGCTGAGGTGGTTTAGTTTGGAGAAGAGGAGGCTGAGGGGTGACCTTATCACTCTCTACTACTACCTGAAAGGAGTTTGTAGCGAGGTGGGTGCTGGTCTCTTCTCCCAGATAACTAGAGGTGGGACAAGAGGAAATGGCCTCAAGTTGTGCTAGGGGAGAGTTAGGTTGAATATTATGAAAAATTACTTTACTGAAAGAGTGGTTGAGCACTGGAACAGGCTGCCCAGGGAAATGGTGGAGTCACCATCCCGGAGGTGTGGAAAAAACATTTAGTTGTGGGACGTGGTTTAGTGGGCATGGTAGTGTTGGGTTGATGGTTGCACTCTATGATCTTGAAGATCTTTTTAAACCTTAATGATTCTATGATTCTGGTTATATTCTACCTCTAAATTTTAGGTGTATGGTTAAGTACTTCTTAGTATTCTTAGTACATCGTAAAGTTAGTAATAAATACAAAATTTTGCATTCGCTAAGCAACTTCAGACTTAAGACAGTTAAATCATAGATATTGAATTCCTGTTCAGCCTTGAGTTTATCTAATTTATTTAATACTGACTTTCCTCTATCTCCTTCTAGAATTAGTCTCTGATATTGTTTAATTCCTCTATTGTATTTTCCTAGCACTTGATGCTTAGTCAAGACTCTCCTATTATAGAATATTATCCACCGGATTTTAAAACTGACCTAAATGGAAAACAGCAGGAGTGGGAAGCTGTAGTATTAATCCCATTTATTGATGAGGTAAGTTCGTTCAACGTCTGCTGTCTATAAAAGCTGCATAACAAATCTTCTAAACTTCTTAATCAATCAGCAGTTAGACATGCAATTAAATAGAAGTTTAAATTAACACTTTATGTTAATGTTTGCTGCCTGGAGAGTAAGGCTAGATTAAGTTACCACAAGCAGAAGTCCTAAGTGACTGACTTAATAAAAAGTGGACTTTTTGTTGTTTGTTCATGTTTTTAATCAACTACTTAAATATTTAGTTTCAGATTTCTTTGAGAGAAAAATTCTATTCCTATTTACGTATAAAAATACAGAACGTAGGGAAAAAACCAAACAAAACCAAAAACAAACGCTTGAAAAAAACCCAATCTTTTTACAGGAAATCTCTTCACATGAGCACCAGTAATAAGTAGAAGACTTTTAAAGTACAAATTGACGTTAATGGAGCGGAATAAAATAGTAACATTTTTCTTTTGCATATAGGATAACAGTATTATATATGTTTTTGTAGTATGTTTTATCAGATTAAATTTGAGCACATCAGAGTGGATGAAAATAAAAGTGCAGCTTAGACGTTGAGGTATATAGGGATAGAGAGACACGTGAGGTGTGTGTGCCCGTCGGTGGTTTCCGTAGTTTGCAGTGAAGGGTTGACAGGACTTGGTCTTCTTACAAAAGACAGCAGTTGCTATTTGATTGACCCATAAGGTTTGAAGCTTTTTCAGTAGTTATTTTGCAGAATTGTATGATAACATCTGCAATATTTTTTAATATTCCTTTGTATGTTGAATGTAAAAGGCAAAGTATAGCTAGCCTTTGGAAATTCATTTGCAGAAAGGTAATCTTTATTCTCCAAAGCTGTTCCATTGTAGTTGTCCTGTTTTTATCATGGAACTGGGACATGAGGAAGGGTGAGGCTGCAATTAGATAATTAACACATGAACCAGAAAAGTGCAGCTATCCACTTTCCTGCTGTAGAAGTTCCTGTGCTAATTGTGTGGCCATTTTCACGTATGCTTATTTGTTTAAAATTTAGAAACGACTGCTGCAGGCCATGGAATCCTGTAATAAATGTCTAAAAGAAGAGGAGAAACGAAGAAATACTCACAGTGCTTGCTTAATGTACTGGTATGACAAAGATGCAGAGTTCCAGTATATGTCGCCGTGGCCAGAGAAGTTTCCTGCAGTAGAAAGATGTCATACGAGGTAACACTGCATAACTATTTTAGAGTAGACTAAAATTAGAATACTCCTGTTAGCATTTTAACCAAAGCTTGTACATGCTAATGGATGCACTGAAAATGTAAAATGTTGAATTAGACGTTACTTGTGGATGGCACAACAGAAGTGTTTGTCCCTTTTCTTCAAATGTTACTTTTCAAGAGAGATGAACCGATTATAAGTCAGCAAGAACACTCTAGAGAATTGCTAAACTTCATATGACACAGAGGATGAAAGACTGGTACAGATATCTCATAATAGTGATGATTTATCAGCACGTTAATTCCAGACCACTTGGATCCAGTGCAGAGTTGAACACAACTGTGTTCCACTTTCCTCTCACTAGAAGTAGCCAGCTTTATTTAACGCAGGCCGAGGTTTCAAGATTAGATGGAAACATCTCCTTAATAGTAGTCAAACTTTAATCAAAATAGAGGAGAAATGCCCGTTGCAGGTTGACATTCAGTAGAGAATGAATAGTTGTGAAGATGAGTGATACCTTATGGAATCAGTGCTAGTTTTGAATTTGACATTAACAATGAAGTGACATTAAACCACGGTATGTCCCTATCTCAAGTGTTGTCTTTGTCTCCAGGAGTAGTCTCTTTGCAGTAATCGCAAGGGTTTTTATAGGCCTTTGTGTATGTTCCAAGTGGCTTAAATTAACGGCCACCTTACAGGAAAGTCGAAGGGTTTGTCAGTGAATGGTGTTTGAATGAGGAATGAGAGTTCCTAGAGCTGAAGGTCAATCTGGATGAGCAAACATCATGCAACTTTTTGGTTTTTTAGGTATAAAACAATACCTTTGGATGCTTGGCATGTAGAAATAACCCATAATAAGATAACTAAAATCAACAAGAGTGCATTGTATTTTTGTGGATTTCCTACTTTAAAGCACATTAAACATAAGGTAAAAGATTTCTCTCTTCTGACATTTTCAATTGTATTTAATAGTTAACTATGTAAGAGTTCAAGTAAGTTTTATGTGCTGTTTTGTTTTTACCCAGTTCTATCTTAGAAAAAGCAGTGTTCAGGTGTTTCAGCAAAGCAGCCACGGAGAGAACATGATGTTAGAAATCACAGCTGATGAGAACGCAAAAGAGCAGGTAAGTGTTCCGCTCCTCACAGAAAACAAACAAAACAAAACTGCAAGAAAAGAACAAACAGAAAAAAAACCACAGGAAAAAAAGCAGACACAAGAACTTGTCATAAAAAGACTACATTTGTTAAAGAGTCAGATTTGAAATGTTGGTAATTTCCATCTTCTCAGTAGTGTGTTACAGGAAAAAATGCTTATAGAGTAGTACTGACAAAGTTTCTAAATTCAAGCGTTTCTTAAAAAAGAGTAGTTAAATACATTGAACGAATGGTTAATTTAAAAGAGTATCTTTAGTGTTTTTAAAAAACTTGATTTAACTAGTAATGCTTGATTTCAAAGGGAGCTGTATGTATAAGTTATTAAAACTTGATTAATAGAAAGGAAGGTGAACTACAGTTGTGTGCTCAAAGCCATAGGAATAACTTCAGAAGTCAGAACTTCGGAGTTCCTGGCTCCCAACACAACGTTGAGACCATTAAGTGGTAGAATTATCAGTGTATGTTTTGAAAATATCAGCTGAATCGGTTCACTGAAAACATCAGCAGTATTAGTTCACACTGAAAGCTTTTATTGGATATTGGAGGCAATTCTAAAAAATAAAGTTTGTGAGGATTAAAATGCTAAATTTGTGTGGGGAACAGTCTAGAATTTTGGGAATCTGCTGAAAGATTTAAATCTGTCCTGAGTTCAGAATTAAATGTCTGCCTCTTCAGTAGGGTTTCTGGCATTTCTCTGTGGTAGCCATCAGATGTTCTCATGTTAAGAAGCTGGTGGGACCCACTCCTAAATAATTAATAGTTGAAAATGGTAGAAATGCAAGGAAGCAGAGTTTGCAGACCAGTGTACCTCGTCTTTTGTATAGTTGAGTATATAGACACTTATTAAATCAGTCCCTTTTCATCAACAAAGCAGACTTAGAGCTTCTACTTAAGTAAGACTGTTTGATAAAGGAATTAGAGGAAAGAGTTGATGCAGAGACATTAAGAAACAAAATATTTTTTCTAAATCCTTTAAAAGCCAACTCTGTTTCATAATCAAAAATACCAGGTAGCAAAAGACAAATCCAGGAAAAAGAAAAAAGTTTCAGAGATAAGTAAAACCAGAAAAGGAGAGAGGAGGAAAACAACAAGGCAGGATTTAGCAGTAGAGAGACAGGAAGAGTGAATATTCAAGATACGTGGCGAAAAGAATTAAATAAGCCAAAATAATATATTAAAAAGTAGCCGAAACCCATTGAGAAAACAGAACATAATGTGAGACAGAAATTACACATGCTAGCAAAGTCCTGGACATAAATGCTGTTTCTTTATATTTCACTGAGATACAAAAGTAAGATCTATGGTACAAAATGCTTCGCTAGTCTCAACTTGTCGGTTTGACTGTTGTGTCCTAGTGGCACAAATAGTTTTGATTTAACAAAAAACCCCATAGTAAGCCCATACCAGAAATGTAAATCAACCCAGGTCTTACAGCTAATAAGTGCTACGTGTAAAGAGCCGCACTTGGAATACGATACTTGTAACATGTATCAAAATATAATTTTATAAGGTAAAATGAGCTTTTTATTCTGCAAGAAAACCTGTTCTTAAACTAGAGTAGTCTTTATTGCAAAAAGAGTGTAAAAATATTTTAACAAAAACAATCCCTTAATATGCTATAAAATGAGTAACTTCTGGGTTTTTTCCAGACGGTAGAAAATGTTGCTGGTTTGGTACTTGGAAAGCGTGTTTTTGTGAACTGGCCACACCTGGAAGAAGCCAGAGTTGTTGCTGTGTCAGATGGAGAAACTAAGTAAGAGATGTTTCATAGATACTTATTTACCATCTTTACTGTTTTATTCAAAATCAGTTTCTCAGGCTGTACAAAGGTTGTCGTTCTCCTGTAGTACTTGCTAACAACAAATCGGTCCAGACGTATTAAAGGCTGCTTGATGGAAGAACCTTTGCTGAACGTCGTTCTGAGGCTTGGTCACTTCTGTAAAAGTCTGGTCCTTCAGTATTGGCTGTAGATGTGAAAGTTTGGGAGAGTTCATTCTTAACTTTGAGAAGGAAAATGCGTGCACAGAAATCCACGCAGAGTAACGAAGAGAGAACATTCCTGTACCATCTTCCTTTTCAGCACATGCGCTGCGTTTTTTTAATTAAAAAAAATCTGCTGCGTGGCCTGTTGTTGAAGGAGCGGAGAAAATGATGCTGCAAGTTTTCCATGTCCTTAACAAGTGCTTTCTAACTGCTTCAAGTCTTGTTTATGATTGGTTGTGACTAGATTAGTCTTAATTGGTTAAAATTAGTATCTGTCGTAATATTCTCTAGGTTTTATTTGGAAGAACCACATGGCACACAGAAGCTTTACATGGGAAATGCAGTGCCCCCAGCTAAGGTGGCATACATTGGAGATAAGGAACAAAGTATGTGGATAAAAGAAGTTCAAGGCATTTCAGAGCAGTAAGTAACTTTGGAAATGGAAGTGTAACTTTGCATTTTATAGCTTAGTCGTGTTTTGTTGCTGTATTACAGACCCTAAGTAGCAGAGAAGAGCTGCTGCATACTTGATGATAAAGGTTAATGAGTCTACTGGAATTTAATTAAAAAAACCCAAAACACCAACATAAAAGAGCTTATGTTGAAATTTCAGAACATGTGGAGTTAGTCCCTAGGTTTTTAAAGGTAGATGCTGTTACAAAAGAATTCTTGAATGAGTTTCAGTGTTCACTCTCCTACTCAGTTTCTTGTTCTGGCCTTGGTAATCTTCAGCTGTAAGAAGGACATAGGATGGAGTTACAACTGTGAAGTTACAACTTTCCTAGCTTACCGTTGATAAGTTTGAATGCAGTTTCTGCTTTTCTAGAGCGTGGGTGCCCAGCGGAACACAACTACATTAAGTAGCTTGCCACTTTTATCATCTGTCACTTGAGTTAACATGAATTAGCCTTCACGTTAATTAGCCTTAATTACCCCTAACTGTTCCCACTGTAAAGGTAAAATGTGTTTAGATTAACAGAGTTAGCTATATAATTATAGCTGTGCAACTATGGGGATGCAATTGATTAAGCTGGTTATTCTGGTTATTTTATAAAACTGGAAGCAAACCAGTAGAAGCCTTTTGTTAAGAGTATTTTTTTAAATTATTATTTCAATAAATTAATTCCACCCTCTTGGTTCAGTTCTGTTTATTGTAGTCAAACTAAATGTTCTGCTTTTGTATGCAGCTACCAAAGAAGAAAAGGAATAATTATTCATGAAACATCAATAGTTGTGTATGCTCAGTTACTCACTGGTAATAGATACCAACTAAACCAAAATGGAGAAGTTTATTTGGAGAAGCAGTGGTCAAAACAAGTTCTTCCTTTTGTTTACCAAACTGTTGTCAAGGTAGTATTCTCTTGCACATAGCTCCTTATTTTACTAGGATGGGGCGGGGGTGTGCAGATGAATAAGTATATGCTCCTTTAAAAGGAAAAAAAGAACAAAAATAAGCATCTTAAATTAATGTTATTTTTTGTATTAAAAATATAACATGCTTGGGCAAGCATTTTGTCACAATTTGGGACTCTGTTGCCCTGTTCAAAGATCTTACTGAAAAAATGGCTCTTGTCATCTTTTTCCTGATGATATTTGAATCGAGGGCCGCAGTGGTGCTCTACAAGGTAGCAGAGTTGCTTGTGTAACAGCATTTGTAACATAGCAGTAACTTCTTTGCCTTTGATGAATCATTTCAGGCTCAGAAAATGTTTTAGAAAAAGTGTCGGCTTAGATGAACTTTTAAATTATTCTGCTGGAACAGAATGATATTTAACATTATCAATTTTGTCTTTTTGATACAGGATATCAAAGCCTTTGACTCTCGCTTTTCAAACATCAGAACTCTGGATGACTTGTTTCCTCCTGGAAGCACAGCCTTTATGCTGGGATCTCCTTACTATGGCTGCATGGGAGAAGTTAGTTCAAATAATTCAATGATTCCACCCCACCTCAGATTTCTTTATTTAGCCTTAATCACCCCTAACTGTTCCCACTGTAAAGGTAAAATGTGTTTAGATTAACAGAGTCAGCTATGTGATGATAGCTGTGCGACTATGGGGATGCAATTGATTAAGCCGTTTATTTTTTTATAAAACTGGAAGCAAAGCAAGCCTTAAATAATCTAGATGATGTGTGGCAGTAGTGGTCATTTGCTAGCTAAAATTTTAAATCAAAGATTTCCTTATGGTTTAGTCAAAGGAAGAGGAAAAAGGTAGCATAGCTTGGATGCAGGATTATTTTTATTCATTATTTAGGATAACTTGCAATACGTTGTTGCCATTTTGGACCATTTTCGGTCACGGATTCCTTTGATTTAAGGTTGTTTGATTGCCTCTATGAGGAGGCAGTGTACAGGTCAAGGCAAGACAGTGAATCCCAAAGCATGTCTATGCCTACTGCAGGAGAATTGTTTGATAAAGTAGACTACAAAGCCTGGTTTCCAAAGACTGCTGGTTTTAAATAACATTTTTATCGTCCTGTGTTTCTCTCCAAGGTTCAAGATTCACATGATGTGATCACAGAAGGTAGAATTCGTGTAGTTTTTAATATTCCATGTGAACCGCAGCTTGATCCTTTAATACAGAACCAGCATGTAAGTGCTTCTGGTTTTCTAGTAGAAGCTTAAACAATGTGTCAAATATGTTTTCAATGGTAAATGTCTTTGAGATGTTTCCATATTATTAATTTGTCCTTTGTATAAAAATCTTTATCCTTTGGGAAGCCCCAATATTTTTTGTTTGTTTGTTTTAAAGAAATATTCTGTGAAATACAATCCTGCATATATTTTGGCCAGCCGTCTAGGAGTAAGTGGATATCTTGTCTCCAGATTTACAGGGAGTATCTTTATTGGAAGAGGATCAAAGAAAAAGTAAGTTCTCTTTGTGAATTTTGACTGTGCTTCTAAATTCTGATACAACTCCACAGAGTTTCTGCTGTGGTTAAGTGCTGTTCTTACTGAGTGTATAACTGCTTTGTGACGTATGTGGAGCTTTCTTTAAAGTGTATTTGTTGTAAACTAAATTTATGCATAGTGATTGTCCAGGGACATCTTTCTATGTCTTTGTAAGTGCCAGGTAGGTTGTGATTGATTAGATCTCAAGGAAGAAGGATAAAATATTCCCTGCCCTCCTTTGCAATAAAGCATGGGCACGCATTTGGACAGCTGCCATAGCTGATGTCCTGTAACACTTAAGCAGTTGCAATGTTAACAAGTAAATAATACAATTTAATTTTCCTGTGGTTTGAGGCTGAGGATGCATGTTTATGTGTATGTACACGCACACATATGTATTACTGCAAGTTAATGAACTTTTACTTATTTCCAGTCCTCATGGAGATCACAAAGCAAATGTGGGGCTAAACCTGAAGTTCAATAAGAAAAATGAAGAAGTTCCTGGCTATACTAAGAAAGTTGGGAATGAATGGATGTATTCTTCTGCAGTAGAACAGCTACTTGCTGAGTATTTAGAAAGGTAAATAATGGATATGAACTTCATCCAAATTATCCACCTTCGTATCAGTCTTCAGATTTTGTCCTATGGACACAGATCTTGTAAGAACTGTTGAGCTTTTGGAGATTGCTCGATGGAATTTCTTTTATTCCAGTATTCTTCAAACAGTGTCTCCTTCCATGGAGAAGCATATTTTGGGCTAGAGTAATTTTGTCAGTAGCTTATCCGTGACAAATTAACAGTACGACACTAAATTAAGTAGAAAAGAATCCTTCTGGGCTTCAGTAATTTTGGAGTCTATCAGAGTCTGTTTTGATGAGAACTTTTTCTGTGGTCTATGCTGATGTGAAACTAAATTTGTCTTCCATTTACTCATTTTTTAGGGTCCCTGAGCTATTTAATTATATAGCCAAGAACAGCCAGGAAGATATCTTCTATGAAGATGACATTTGGCCTGGAGAGGACGAGAATGGGTAAGCCATCTTTCTGCTTTTCTTTTTTTATAGAATAAGTAGAATAAAGGCTGATAACGTTGTGAAACTGGTGGTGATCATACAGTGTCTGCTATGTAAGTGAAACCTTGCTGTCCCTTGAGCAGCATGATTGCTCAGTGATGACTCAAAGAGCTGTCAGAATGTTGTGCATTCCAGTTGTGCGGTCCAGGTCTCTGTCAGACTCCCATCTCAGGTCCAATAAATGAGAAGTCTGATTTTCAATGGCTACTTCATAATACTTGCTTTTAAAGTCATCTTCAGTAGGTTTAGTTATGAGTAGTCACAAAGTCACCAAAAGATTATTTTTTGAAAATAAGCAATAATTATTTTAATTGTTTACGATCATTTTGAATTTGAATAATAATACGTACAGAATGTAAAGTACTTTGCACATTTTTAGTATACATTGTCAGTTCCGCGGGAGAGAAGGAGCAACCTAGGTTCCAAATACAGTACAGTGACATTAAAAACAGCTACAAACTAGTAAGCCCTATTCCCAGGCTTGGGTTGGCAAGTCTGCACGGTGCTGCACTCCACAGGACTCTCACCGGGCAGGTACCCCGTTGTGGTACTCTTCTGTTACCAGAATCTCAGGGCTGTGCTCCGTTTCACCAGAGAGGCATGCCCTGGAGTTCTTTTGTACTGTGAGAAACAGCTGGTCACAGAACCTTTCATCACAGCTGGACATGGTTAGGTGGCTGGATGCAAACAGAATTTATCGAATACTTTAATTGTTGGTTTTTTTCTTTGAGATAAAACTTCAGGTTATCGTTTTAAACAGTGTTGGGTGATTCACTTTGATTATTTTTTTTTAACCCGTATTGTAAACTAGTACAGAGCTCTTCAATTCTGTTACCTTATGAGTGTATACGAGCGTTTGGCCTGTACCATAATCCTTGACTGATTAAATCGAGGAGCGTGGTAAAATGCTTAGTTTATGCAGTTAAAAGCTCTAATTCATGTTGTTTTTCATTTAGAGCTGAGAAAGTTCAAGAAATTGTTGCCTGGTTAAAGGCACATCCTGTGTCTGCCTTGTCTCGCTCATCTTGTGACTTGCAAATTTTGGACGCAGCCATTGTTGAGAAAATTGAAGAAGAAATAGAGAAATGCAAGGTGTGTGGTTTGACATCCTTGTGAGCGGGGGCGAACCAAAAAGCAGCTGCTAATTATTTTCCAAGTTCTTGAATTAGAGTAAGACGATTGAAGATTACTTGTAGTACTGAAGAAGGAAGAAAAAAAACCAAAACCAAACAACACAATGTTATACAAGAACTGAGTTTGTAATGTGAATTGTCACAGAATTCAGAAGAGCTCATTAATATTTTAATTGATTCACTCTTTTTGAGGCAATTCAGCAGCACTAGGCCATACTCTTCCATCACCAGAAGTCAGAATTCAAGGAACAGGTACCCGTACATATCCTGAGCTGCTGAGGTGCTGTTTCGAAGTGCAGTCCCAGCTGTTCTTCCCTTGTCGTTTCTGATCTGAGGAAAGTCAAACGGTTGTCTTCAGAATGCCACAGATCAAAAAGGGGGCCAAGGAAATTACTAAAGCAAAAGCTGAAGGCAAAGCCACATGAAAAAAGAGACTGATTTCTCTGAAGTTACTTGCAAGGATGTGTTAATAAAATCGGTGTGAATTCTTCAATTAGCCAAACAATGCAAAAGTGTTGGGAAGAAATCGGTCATGTTTTAAAAACTGGGCTTAGTCATCCTAAAGACTTCATGAAAGCTGTATAACTTTATCCAAAAGAAACAAAATAATTCTACATGATCTTTTCAGGTGTTTTGTTGCACCTGATATCTCGTTTTGGCTTCTGCGCTAATTCGTAGTGACTTTCTGTTCCTTTCCTTCAGCAGAGAAAGAGCAACAAGAAGGTGCGAGTAACTGTGAAGCCCCATTTGCTGTACAGAGTAAGTGATGTGAAAAGTTTTTTCTTGAAAGTTAAGTTGTCCAAGTCATATTTATTTTACTTAAGCTTACCACCTTTCAGAGGGTGGAATTTTGACACTATTGATGGATGGTTTTATGATGGCTGCTAGAAAATGAATTTGAGAAGTCTGTCTCTAACAGAAGAGAATTTTTACTGCCTGCAGACTGCATCCTGTATCGTACTGACTTGCAGTTCTTTTCGACCTTCTGTCCTTCATGCTCCCACAGTTCTTACTGGCTGTATAATGAGAGCACAACAAAATACACTTCCCATTGGTCTCTTCCCTCTTTTGCTTTTTGTTTGGTTCTTGACATAGACCAACTGCTCATCTTGCCTGGTATTTCACAGATACCCATCTTACTGATACAGGCAGATTATACTTCATGGTTTTATTTTGTCTGAGTTGATCCTCTCAGTGTCCCTTGGATCATCTACAGCACTGCTGTTTCTTAGGCAGAAGCAGTGAGTGAGAGTTGCAGGGAAAAAATATGAGTTTGCTTTGTGTCAGGGGAGGGAAGATCTGATGATTTCGACTTTTTTTTCCCCCAGAAAGTTTGCTTTTTATAACGTGTTTCAGGTATTGATATAAATGCATTTGGATTGTAGTCGTCATGTTTCTGCAAACGTTAATGTAGTCTTTTGGTTCTCGTCAGCCGTTAGAACAGCAGAATGGGGTGGTTCCAGATCGAGATGCAGAGTACAGGCTGTTTGACCGTGTTGTCAATGTGAGAGAGAACTTCTCTGTTCCCGTTGGTCTTCGAGGTACCATTATAGGAATTAAAGGAGGTAATGTTTTCTTCATAATTGTAGCATCTTAGCTGTAAAACAGCTCTGCTAGCGATGTGAAAGCAGGCTTCAGAAGCGTGTTTTGTATAACGGTTGTGAATGCACAGAAATTTCTCACCTATGAAGCTTACGGGACTTGAATACAGTAAAGACACAGCTACTGTTCTGAATTAAACCTGCAGGTATTCTGTTTTAATTTTGTGTGTTACACAGCTGTACTTTGAATAAGAAATTACCCTTTGTTCCTTCTTAATATGAAGAAGGAAGAGAGAACGAAGTCTGCAACAAAGCAATGAAACGAACTTATGGGAAGATACAGGCAAAGTTAAGAGAGGTGGAGAATAAAACCAAGTTTTAGCCTTAATACCTACATTGAACATAGAATTTTATCAGATATGATTTGTCTCAAGTTTTTTTATTTGGAATTCGATTTTTACTCTGATTTCTGTTAAATGGCATGGGTTTATGTCTTCTTTTACAAGAAGATTATCCATAAATCTATTTTGGATAAACAAAAGGAATTCTCACATTTGGTGTAGCACTTTGAGACGCAGTTATAGAGGTTGTTGTCTTACTTGGCATTTAAGTAGCTGCTTTCTTGTTCAGTTTTTATCCGTGAGAATCTTGAATAGACTAGACTTGAGTGCCGCTTTTTCTCCATAATTATTACTTACTAGAATAATCTTAAAGTAGCAGTAGTTTGTCATTATGCAAGAAGGTAAAGTTAAAGCTGTTGGTTTCTGACTGCCTGAATGTAAAGATGGCTTGCATCTCTTTTCTGGCAGTTTCTGACAACTGTGACATCCTGCTATAAACTGCAGTTCTCTTCATGCAGGTTGTTGTGCATGGGATGTTTCTGTGGAACGTGTATCTGAAAGGGTGGCCATGTATGACTTTGAGAAGTATTTCTGAATTGCTGTTAATGAAATAACGCATTTAAGGAACAAGGACTTTTTTGTTGCTAATTAGTTTTTGGTCTTTTCATTATTTATTGTATAACTAATAGGGATATTTACATAATTTAGATGAAAACAGCTACTGTGACATATATAGGATGACATTTTACTTTGTTTTCTACAGCCAGCAGAGAAACAGATGTGCTCTTCGAAGTTTTGTTTGACGAGGAATTCCTTGGAGGCCTAACTATAAGGTTTGTGCAGGGGAGTTCACCGTCATTCCGTGCTATTGGTACAGACAGCGTGGAATTGTTGCCTTTGGTTTGGTTGAGTATTTTTAATGCCTCTGTTCAAAACTGTGTTTCTCAACAGTGTTGGTCAGTATTTATTTCTTTAGGATTTCTTTTTTCTCTTTGAACAGGGATAATTTTTCTGAATGAAATTCTATTTTGGAAATGCTCTTTAGGCTTTTTTGTGTATTGAGAAGCTTCTGATTTGTAGAAAGCAAATATGAACTAGCAGAATAAAGCACTAGATCCAAGGATCTTTCTAAAACACCTATGTAGAAAACAGCTTGTTATCAGTGTATCTGTAACATAGACTGAAAAATAGACAGTGATCATCTGTTCCTCTGAAGATGACTCTGAACTGTCAATAATTGATACTTAGGCACTAAATTCTAACCACCATTAAAAACCTAAACTGTTCTTCAGGAGGTGGAGATATGGTTAATGCTGTTGTTTCAAAAAGTGTCCTACCTCTCTCTTGTTTTTATGTAAACAGGTAAACTTCTAATTGCACTGATTTACCCAGCAGGCTTCATTTTGCTGTTGTTCTTAGATAAATAAAGGGTTTTTTAATGACAGAAACTAGAGGACAATCTTTCCTATTCTCAGTGTTCAGCAAGCACAGTACGATCCTATCCCTTGCAAGAGCATGTCCTGTAACACACAATCTTCAGTATTCAGAACCATAAAGGAAGCTGTAAAACTGACTAAATACTGCTTAACTTCAATTTATAATTCTGCCACTGGCTCGAGTTTTCATCTCAGGAAAAGAAAGTAGTATTGTTTCCTGGTTCATAATTGTTTACAGAAATATTTACCACAGAACTGTGCTATTCACTCTTTAAAATTTCTTTGAGCTCAGCACGGAAAGGTCCAACATAAACTCAGAGTAGTGGTAGTTGCTGTTCTCTGGTTTTGACAGGCAGAGGCCTAGGGGGAGCACAGTGGGATTAACGTTGTGTGTACTGGTACCAGATTTATATTGGGTACTGTTTTCAGCCTCTGCTCTTCGAACTTGAGTCGTTATCGTTTGGCATAGGAGCAGTGGTGTTGCTAAATCAGATATATTGAAATGTCAACAATTAAGCTTATGAAACAACTGTGTAATTTGCTTTCCTTAAGGTGCTCACCTGCCAGAGGTTATCGTCTGCCATCAAGTGCCTTAATTAACTTGTCCCACGGCAGTAGGTTAGAGATGGGAAATCAGAAACTGATGGCCATAGTTAAACCTCAGCCAGCTATGAACAACTACAACTCGTATGCATCTGATCTGTCCTCTGTATGCTCACAAAAAGTGCATCTGGGAGGCCTCAACCATTCTCCTCGCTCCCTTTTTGTTCCTACTCAAGTAAGACTTTTATTTCATTTGTACAAAAATGTTTTTCCCTAGAAGTCGAGTTATGGTTGTTATCTTAACTGGTACAAACAAAATTTAGGTTTTATGTCAGTATGTTAGAAGTAGGATAATCCTTGTGTTGGAGAAATGAGATAATCCAATAATGAGAGGGACCAAAAGTTCCCTGCTGGCAGTTGTTTTGTTTTGAGTAGCTCCAGTTGCATTTCCAAGACACAAATATTTAGTTCAGAGCAGTGACACACTTGGTGTCAACAAACTGTTTGGGCAGAGATGCAATTATTTCCTTTAAAGCTCTGTTCAGAGCAATGCTTCCTGTCGACCGAGTTTGTCCATGCTGAGAAAGCAAAGACGTGATTTCCATGTAAATTTTGCTTCTTGGTTATGATATACTTAGTTTGACAATAAAGAAGGAAAACTTACAGGCGACTGAGGTTATAATTGGTTTAATTAGACTTTATTTTTTAATAAATGCCTTCTTTAAAGAAAGTAAGCTTAATTTGGTAAATTCATGTTGCTGTAGGTGTGTTTGAGAAGAATTGTCTCATGTTTTCTAAGTCTGCACAAGAAAAAGTTCTTTCCATAAGAAAATGTAAGGCAATGAAACACTTTTTTTTTTCTCTCAATGTTTTAGCAACTGAATGGAAGACAGCATTACAATCTCAGGGCTGAAAATCAGGGCAACTCGAGCTCACCCCAGAAAGGATCATTTCTGAGTGGCAATCAGAAGAATAAAGTGAGTGCTCTGATGCACTTGGTATTGGACCCAAGTGTCTCAACGTGTATTTTGGCCCTGTATTTCAAGTGGGTGTCTTTCTCTCATGATGAACAGATATCTGATGTACTAAAACAAATCTGTTTTAGTCTGGATATAGACTGAAGCAGAACTTGTCCCAGTTCTTGAATGGGGACATATCCTTATTTATATTACAGATTTTCTGAAGTGTTTTTTAAGTAGCTGGGCTTCAGTTCTGTGGTAACATACCTGTAATGCTATGAAGCACTGGAGCCTGATTAATAAGGCCTTACAAAATAAGACATTAATAATAAAATTTAAGAATACTGCCAGTATGAGAGCGTGCTTTTGAAACCGTTTTGAACAATTGTCTGAGTTGAATTATACTTGATCTTTCCTGTGTTCATAACTTCAGTTAATAGCAAAACAAAAACAATCTCAAAACAAACTTGGGTCATTTCAGCTTAACAGGGGTTTTAGGAGCCTATTTCATACATTAAATACCTGAAAGTTTTACTGGTTTCAGTATGAAAATTTCTGTCATCTGAGCACTGTTAAACCTGGACCTTGCAATCTGCAGAATGTTTTTGTATACAATTAGCTGATCAAAAGTTGAGTTTATAGCTGCTGAGTTTTTTGGGGGTGTTGTTTCTTATTTTCTCAGGCACAGAGTAAGCAAGAGGATGAATTCTGCAGCATCTGGCAATCATTGCAGAGTTCTGGGAAGTCACACCACATTCAGCAGAACATGCATGAGAAGGTTAGTATGTAAACTTCACACAGATCCCTGGGTTCAAAATACGAAGGTAGTTAATACATCAGTTTGTTACATCAGAAAACTTTCTAATTAATATTTCAAATGAATTCTCTATAGAAAATTACTGTTACATAGGGTATGCATAGCTGTGGAAAGAGGTAATCATAGAGGACTACTATGTAAACGATAGAGACATAGTTTTCTGGTTAAGATTTGATGTTTGAAATCCTAGGGTGCAGTTCTACCTCAGGAAGTCAAGCTGGCAACTGGCAATCAATTCTATAAGCCAGGATTCAATGACAGCAGCTTTAAAGGTCAGCAACGAAAACAGGAGCCATATAAAAAATGTAAGTACTATAATTAGATACTTTAGGAGAACTACTTGCTTTATTTGATCTTCACTGAAATGCCTATTGAGGTTTCTTTCAATTAACAACATAAAATAGTTTATTATAGTCATATAAATACTATGTTGCACTAACTGTTGTCAAATACTGTCCCTGCTGTGCGTATTAGGTTATTCCACACTCAATCCTGAACCTTGTAATCAAGCTGTTCTGCAGTGTGTAGACTTTCTACCCACCTGATATAAAAACAAACCAAAAACCCCCACAATTTGGCTTTCAAAATTTGGCTGTGATCATATTTGTAGAACATAAAATTAGATACAAAATGAAGCATATGCAGTATGTTATGCCACAAGAAAAGCATACACCGAATGACCTATAAAGCATGAATTAAACATTTGATGCACCCATTCAAAATAATGCAATTCTGTATACTTGCGTTACTGATTTTTTTGAGTCCTGATTATTATTACAGTTTTTAAGAGCATTTCAAAAGAATGTATTCTTTTGTAGTTAAAGAAGATTCCAAAGTTTCAAGAGGTGAAAGTCAGCCACATAATAAAATATCAAACAAACAGGTAATTTCTTCTGTACTGAATAAATGTGTTCTTTTTTCCTTTTTTCCTTTTCCTTTTTTCCTTTTCCTTTTTTCCTTTTCCTTTTTCTTTTTTCCTTTTTTCCTTTTCCTTTTTTCCTTTTCCTTTTTTCCTTTTCCTTTTTTCCTTTTCCTTTTTTCCTTTTCCTTTTTTCCTTTTCCTTTTTTCCTTTCCCTTTCCCTCCCTCCCTCCCTCCCTTCTTTTCATTTTACTCTGATCTGCTTCATCATATTACAGATTTCTCTTTAACAGGCATCTTAGTTGAATCTTTTACTAGGTAAATTTTATTTAAAAGATTAATTATTTTCTCTAGAGATTTTATAGACAGAAAATGAGAGAGAGTGCGTAAGATGTATGATGATGATACCAAATGATTTTCCTATTCCTCTGACTCTAGAAGATACGCTCTGATGGAAAACACAAATGCTAGGTCTTCAGTAAGCTGAAATCCGCTAAGAATATTAGCTTTTGAAAGCTATTTGCAGATGCATTTCTAATACGATTGTGTTATAATGAGTAATGGTGTATTGGTATTCAATAATAAATGCTGCAGTTTCATTTCAGAGTTTTGCAGGTGTGAATAAGTACAATGTCAAACTTCTGAAGAGGAATGAAAGTCCCAGCGTGCCTGTAATTCAGAAGGCTGCAGCTGGTGGTCCCTGTACAGGTGGAAAGGTAGGATCTAGAGAGTTGATTTTCGTGTGCTCTTTGAGTAACTTCAATTTCCAGTCCACTTTGTTCCAATTATTCCTGGTCACTTGTGTGCAAATCCATGCTAGTAACAGATACAAGACAAATAACTTTGATCATTCTTTAAATCAATTCCATATTGGTCAATACTTGCATGTTTTCAGTATGCAAAACTTGATGTAGTCTCTGGACATCTGTTCACGCTCTGAATGGACGTGACTGTGATCTGCCCAAGCTAAGAGAAAATAATCCTGAATGAGCATAGAAGTAATCTTAAACTAATACACCCCTCTTCTTGCATCTGCTTGTAGCGTTCTCAGTTGATGTACCTTTTTTTTAATTTAAGAAGGACAATGAACTTGAAAGCCTTCTAGCTTCTTTGAAGATTTCCAAAGAAAATGAAGTGCAGACTTACTCCAAGGAAGCAAGAGCTACAAATGAAGAACATCTGTCACCACAATCGTTTGCTATGGTCTGTATACTGCAGGAGTCATTACATTGCAATTTAGCATCTGCTGTCTTAGCATCAATGCTTCTATTTAAAGACGCTCCGTGAAGCCTCATACTGCCTTTTTAAACACATTGATGAGGTTTCAATTAGCTATTCTCAGAGAAAATTAACAAACGCATTTGTTTATGCTAAGATGCTGCTATCTGTGCTTTGATAAAAGGTAACTGATAGGAAAACAAAAATTCAGATTTTGTTACCGATTACGATATTCAGAGTTGAGAAGGAAGTGTTATCTGAATGTCACTGTATCCCTGAATGGTTTATTTTATTTTTAAAGAAAGGAACACAGATGCTCAAAGAAATTTTGAAGATAGATGGCTCTGACATGGAAACAAGGAATGAAGTGAAATCCCAAGTTAATGATGTTCCTGTTCCCCCTAGTAGACAAGATTGCCATGGAGCTGCCTTGCAGTATAGAGAAACAAAAAAAATGGGTATGTTTAGACATCAGCTCATAGTTCAGAGCTTCGCCTTGACGTTTGAGAACACAGCAAACAATGCAGTACTCATTGTCACAATATAGGAATAAAACGTCCATCTTTTTCAGTTCTGCTTCTTTATTCAGATCTAAAAAGCTTTCTGTATATAGTCTTGTTTTTTGTTAATCAGATACGAAAATACCAGAAAAAAATCAGATACGTTTTTTTTCTGTGAAAAACAAAAGTTGCTGTCCTTTCAGTACAGGATATGTTTGTGACTGGTTTTGGTTTTCTTCTTTTGTCAGTTGCTTATATGAACAAACCTCATAGCACAGGAGGCCCTCAGAACACACCAGCAGTGGAACCTGGAGCTCACCCTTTCCCTTGTCCACAGCCTGCACTGTCTACTGCTTCTGAACTTTCTCGTATTTGTTCTCTTCTTGGAATGTCGCAACCAGATTTCTCTTTCCTAAAAACACCACAGGTAAAAAGCTTTTTCAGCAAAAGTTGATGTTCTCAACTGTCCTGTATTAAACATTTGGACTGAGCACTGAAATCCATCTGAAAATAAACCTCATCTCCTTTTGTTGCCTTTTTCAAAACAAACAAACATCCTTTTGTTTCTGTGTCGCGGTTCATTTGTCAGCAATACAAATTCCCTCTCTTCTCATTTTTCTAGACCATGACAGTTTGTCACATAAAATTATCAAATGGTTTGCTGGTTCATGGACCACAGTGTCATTCTGAAGCTGAAGCAAAGGAGAAAGCTGCACTTTATGCTTTACAGCGTTTGGTGAGGATGCAAAGATTCTTTAAAAATCTTTGTCTCTGTTGCAGTTTGTTTGTTTGTAATCCTCTTGTTTTCTTCTTCATAGGGTTCTATAGGAGTAAACTTCCCTTTGCCTCCACCTCCGCCCCCACCAGTGTTTCCAAATTATCAGCCACTGGGAGTTCCTGTACCACCTGGATCTATTCCTCCAGTGTTTGCACAACCGCCTGGTAAGTAATTGACCAGTACATGTTTCAACTGTTGTTGTGGTATCCTGCAATTGTAATAATAGTTCTTTATATGAAAATTAATGCCTTCCGTAAGACCCAATTTTTGGTCTTCGTGTATGTAGCTGTATGTCTGAACTGCTGTGAAAGAAGTTCATGAACCTCTTCTCATCAGTATGCAAATTAATTCAATACAAAGAATCACGTCTCTCCCAATTATTTCTTGTATTTGTCCATTCAGTCTTAGTTGGTTTTTGTTTGGTTTAGGTTTTTTTTTCTCCTTCAAAACAACAGTAATTCATTCAAAGCTGATAGTCCCAGTCCAGAATTCATAAGAAATCTCTTCCTTGATCTTCTGCGTGGTTTTCTTTTCCCCTGTGTAGTTAATGGTTATCCATGCATTAGTGTTTTTATTTGTTTATAACCAACTTTCACTGAAGTGCTGCACAACAATCCTGTTGTATGCTGCCAAACACCATTGTGGTAAGTAACCCCCCAAAAATTGCTAAAAATCCTCGTCGTGTTTCTCATTCCCATCTATTTTGTATTCTACTACACCTCACATTCACAGCTAGTAATTATTTAGTCAGCACCACTGTAGCATCCTAGTAACCCCTACAGCAGCTGCTCCATCTCTTTTCCCCGGGGTTTCTATGTTGTTGACTTGTTCCAAAAGGATGGCCTAAACCTGCAGCCTTCTACGTGATACGGTTCACTCAGCTAAGGATGTGAAGAACCTAAGTTATGGGCGCTCTGAAATGCAGGTGCTGTGACTTAGTGCTCTTAACTAGGTGTATCTAGGTGTCATCAGCCTGTAGTTCTGTAAAAGCAGAACTGTTTGTTGGGGGGGGGGTTGATAATAAATAAACACTTAGCTATTTTCAAGTAAATATGAAGAATGTGAGGCCTTATTGGAAAGAGAAACAACATGCAGACAAATGTAGTTGGGTACTTTTGGGGTCTTGGTATCCTCTTTAAGAGGAATGAGTGCTAAAAGTTACTTATTTTCACAGCTAATATAATGCCTCCATCATCTCACATGTTTGGTCCGGTGTCCTGGGGAACTCCAGTGCCTAAACATTATTATCCTGGCTCCTACCCAGGAAATGTGTCTCTTGTAGGAACTATACCAGTTGGTTCTCACAACCAGTTTATACCTCTGCAGGTAAGATTAGCAGGTTTGTCTTAATAGCCTGTTTTTTGTAAAAAACGTGCCTATGTGATGAATGCATCAAAACCCCCACTGTGAAGGACATTTAGTATTAGAAAATTATTGTTAAAAATGTATGCATGTTTTCTGAAAGTGGAATATTTGCAGGTTTTGAGAATGCATTCTGTTAAATAATATTTATTTAATTTAAAGGTAACTAAAAAAAGGGCTGCTAGCAAGAAAAACTTTGAGCTCAAGGAGTTTCAGAGTTCCCCTCAAGCTGCACCACTAAAGAATGACCAGCCAGTGTCTTCTGACCACATTCAGCAAGATAGCTCTTCAGCTCCTTTAAAATCTCCTCAAGCTGCTCAACCCACTGTTTCATTTCAAGACAATGTGGCTACTACAAGCGCTCCTCATAACAAATCAACACCAAACACTTCCAGCAAGCGAAAGCCGAGAAAGCTGGCTGTCAATTTTGGCGCACCAAAATCTTCAGAATAAACATGGTAGCTAGGTGTATTTTATCTTTAACTCTTCCCCCACTATTATGTTCTATCACTTTAAAAAATCAGAAAGCTCTATTAAAAAAGACCAGCCACTTTAAGTATAGTATAGAATGAAATACATTTTATTTGCTATGATTTTCAGGTTGTTATGAAAACGATAAAAATTATGTTAAAACTCGATGATTTTTACTTAAATTAACAAAAGCTGGGAAATACTGAGTTAAGGTTACCACGCCATCTATTGTGCCTAGGTTTCCAAACAGTGGCTTACAGACTCTACTGGGTAAGCAGCAATAACAGTGGCAACCTTAATTCAGAAGTGCTGTGCTTTTCGGGAGGGATATGGAGCGGTAATAAGTTGGGCATCTATCATTACTTAGTATGGCATTTTGTATTCTAGCTTATTTTTAAGTAGTGTAATAAGACAGAAAGGAAAAATTATTTAAATGCAGCTTTTATATTGGCTCTCCAGGTCCTTCTGAGTTGAATCAGTTGACTAAAACCTAACTACAGTGGAACTGCCAAATTCACTTGAACTGTGAACTTCTGGGTTTTATACCAGAGAGCGACAACTCTCAAAATGTGGGTGAAAGGGCGGCAAACAGCGGCTGCTGACGCAGAGTCTGTTCCAGGAGATTAATTTATAGGATGCATTGAATAAAGAAGTATATTTGCAAAGTAGAGACCTCTTTGATAAAGTATGTTTAATTTTCTTTATCTAGCAGCATTATCAGTTTCATTGTTTTCCGATGACAGAATAAAATAGATATCCACTACAGAGCTGCATAACCTCCTAAAATTCTAGTGATATCTTTTTTCCCCCTAAATTATAAAACTGGCCAGAATTTAAAGATCTCCACTTGTGTAGCATGGCTGTCTGTTATGTTTACCTGTTGTTCATATCTCCCTCTAAGAGTCTGCACCCTGAAACCTAGGTTATTTTTTGTTGCTAATGACTTTCCGAATTGTTTAGTTTTGTGATAGGAGTTCTGTTTAGCAAAATTAAATTACTGGAAAGTGTCACTATTGGTTCCACAAGAATATTCAGACAAAAAGTTGACTTTAATTTTTGGAGGGAGCTTTGTTGTAAAAGAAGCAGCTCCATCATTCTTGGTTCATATAGGAAAAAAAGAAGGCTCAAATGGCCTTGTACTATTTCTAAACCACAGGTACCATTCTTACTAACGTTAATGAGAAATCTTCAGTCTAAGAGAAAATTGGAAGCCTCAGTTGGTGCTTTACAACAACTTTAAATCAACAGTTTACTGATGTTGATTAAATTTCAGTTTTCCTCTTTATTCTAATTTATTTCAGAAAATAAAATTTTAAAAAAATAATAATAGAAATTAAAATATTTTTACTTAAGGCCCAGGAAGCTTAGAAGTAAAGCACACTTTAGTGATCCATTTTGTTAGATTTCATGTTAGATCTGCAATTCTGTAGACTTTCTTTCAGTTCCCCTACCTTGTTCCTTGCCTCCATTTCTTGGTGTAGTACCAAGCATAGGATTTTTTTTATATTGATTTCTCAAAAATGTTTGTTACCTCAGTCAAATTTGTAGCAAGCCCTATAAAAAGGATCATGGGGTAAAAACAAGGTTAAGAAATTTTATTTCATTTTACTTAGTATCACAGACCTTGTAAAATACACAGGCTTTAAATACCTTGATTTCATTCTTCTCCTTATAGCCATCTAGTCTCAAAAGGGTTTGAAGCTGTATTCTGAGAAGGGAAAGTTGTACTTTTTGGTGATTTACTGTCATTAGCAACACAAGACTGACACCTTGCTGACATGCCAGTATTTTTCGAGTGTTTATGTGAGATTTAGTTATGAGAGACAGCCCCCCATATCCTATATGAATTATCTTGCCATCAGAGAAAAGATCTGTTTAGAAGTTTCTGTGATGAGGATACGGCTACATTAGATTCTTGCATCACACAATTCTGACGTATCTGGATAACCCATTTATGCAGATTTTCTAGAAAGAAGGTTATGAAGTGCATCCATACTCTTTAACACCAGTAAACACAGCAGTTTTTATTATTAATTACTTACTTCAGACTGAGACGACTTCTTCCAATGAATTGGAATATTTAGTACATATACAGCTGGTTAAACACTTCATTCTGTGGCTGCTGCATATTGTATTAGTCCCTGCCTGGGTTTTAGTTTCTCTTTTCTGTGATGCTGCCTGCCTGGTGCCCAGTTGATTACAGCTGACGTGTCCTGGTAGATGTGACATCTGCACTGGTCTATGCCATGTCCCCTGTGATTTCAGTTTTACATTTTAGCAAGGTCATTTTGTTTAATTCATACAGATATAAATTTAGGCGTTTGTTTTTCTCATAGATATAAAGTATTTTGTAAGCACTGGAGTTTTTCATTAGATCTTATACAGAGCAGTATTTTACTAAAAATCCAAAAGGGAAGACTTTTATGTGCGCATTTTTGTAGTTTCTGATTTTTTTTAAATAACTTTTAGGTGTTTATCTGCCAAGTGAAATGTTTTAAATTTGCATATGAATGGATACAGAATGTATTTTTTGTGCTGTTTAGTGTTAAGTGTGCATTTGCAGATTTTTAGCATGTAGTTGCACAAAGGACCGTGCAAAGATATTTTAAAATATGAATATATGAGACACTGAAGGAAAAATGTTCATAAAAGTTAAATGCTATATAAAACTTTAATGCAATAGAGTAATTTTATAAATTGTGTCTGTGTCTGCTTGTATTAAATATTGAAACAAGAAACATTATTTATTTTCACTGTTTTATTTCCAAATACTATATGGGAACTTCTGTATGCCCTAAAGCAAAATTTTAAGATAAAGATTAACTCTCATGAAGCCAAATTTCTGTGACTCTCGGAAGCAGCAGCTGCCCACCTCTGAGCTGTTTCTTGATGGCTTTCAACTACTACTCGGTTAAAGATAAGTTTGTTAAAAAGGCTATTGGTCACTTTGCAATTAAAAGCATTTAACTAGATACTGATCTTCCAAAATTTATTTGATCTCTATCACCCATTAGATTTAAAAGGAGGAAAAAACCCTAAAAAAAGCAACAAAAATAAAAGCTACGGAAAAGGCAGTAAGATTATTTTCCAGCAAGTTCAGTCCCAGTCATTCTTAACAAGGTGCAAAACCAGCTGATGGCAGGAAAATAAGAGGGGCCACAGGTACCTGGAAATACTTGACACCCTTTTTCTGTACCTGGAGCAAAACACTGTGCTGAGGTTTCTGCTAGAGTAGAGTAAGAACAGTTACCTCTTTGGTAACAAGGCTTCTGAATGAGGCACAATGATGAACTGCACTAGGACCAGTGTAATGTGTGTGAATTTCTTTAAGGGACAGGAGGCAAGTTACACTTCAGAATTAGATTTTCTCATCCCAAGTAACAGCAGGGTTTTTAAATTCAGAATTACCGAACTGATGTTGCCAGGCTTCACCCTTGTGTTAGAGAGGGGAACTAAACTTCTCCATCTTTGTATTGCACATATGTACCATCTGCTGAGTTTTGTTCTCCTGGACCAGTTATCTCTAAGGCCATGTTCAAACTCTACTTGTTCCCTTTTAAAGCGTAATGAACACTGTAGTCATGCCAGTTAATTCTTAGTATCTTCAGCTGTGAGTTATGAACTTTGCTAGGATCTGTCTTCTGCCAGCTGCAGCACCAGCTTTTCATGTAGAGAGAGGTTATTTTCCTTCTCCTGGGTTGTGTGAATTAGCTTGTTTAAAGCAGCTGGCGTAGAGTACACTCTTGACATGAACAGCTGCTGCAACTTTGTGCAGCGGTGGTAGGTGCAGGGCAGCAGTCCTGTTGGTGTATACATTCAGGTCATGCTACTCAAGATATGGAGATACAGTCTTGTATTTCTTAAAATGTCTTAAAATTATTATTCAGTGGACTTCTAAGTACTGCAGTTATCCTGCATGGCAAGTTCTGCCTTGTTACTTATCTCAATATATAGCACAAAAGAAGAATAAAATTTATCAACTAAAGAGAGGACTTTAAAATATATCGGTTTGTGCGTAATAAATCTTGCATGGACGTTCCCATTCAAAAATTAAGTGACTTTTGTTCAACTTATTTCAATTCATCTGAACTGCTATATAGATGACCCCTGAGACTGAGGAATATCAAAGAAGGAATGGTTACTTACAGTAAGGGATTTTTTAATTCTTTTTATTTGAGATGTGATCTCCATATGTGTTCCATAATCAGCCTTCCTTACTACTGAGAGACAGTTATGTTCTTCTCTTTCTGTCTCTGGAAAGGGGACACAGTGACACCAAGGGCATAAGGGCATTCTGAATACACACTCTTGGCCAAAAGAATCCAAATTCAGGTGCATGAGGACCCGTGACTATTGAGACTGTAACTGATATATATTTTGAAGAATTGGATATCATGAGGTAAGTAGCTGTTGTTTATTAATAAAAGAATCTGTGGTGCCAACAACAGATGCTTATTGCTGCCAATTTTTGACAGGGTGTTTACTCTTACTTTTCTGTAATTTACAAATTTCTTGTTTCATTTCTGCTTTGAAAGACAATACAAATCAGAGAGAACAGAAGGAGTTGCAGTACCGTAATGTGCCAATGGTAAACCTTATTCCTGTTATTTGAAAGGACAGAGAAAGCATTTTTCATTAAAACTTACAATTTTTTAAAAAAACTCGGTCAGCGTTACTGTGTGAGCATTGCTTTCTGAAAGTTGACCGTCACCCTTAGTCCTGTACTTTGTGTAACTGCAAGACAGACAAAGGCTGGCACTCAAAAGCCAAAATGTAATTTCTGTGCAATTAACAATAAAATTGAAAGTTGGCAACCTTTAGCATATTGAGGGTATGGGGTGAAGCAAGAACTGGGATTCCAGTGCAAGTAAGTGATCTATTTCAGAGTAACCTGTGCATGATTTCGATGGAGCACTAATTTGGCACAGAATGTGACATTTCGTATTAGCTCCTGATGCTTCTTCCAGTACGTTTCCTTGAAACAGCTGGAATGCTTTGTCAGCCGTTGAAACTTAGCATGGTAAATGAAGAGCATTGCAGGCTGCTGGAGCCTCAAAGCCTATATTGGGGTGGTTTGCTCTTCTAGATTATTCTGGTTTTTTCCTTTTCCTTCTCCTTGCCATTTTTTAAAAAAGACTGGGTCTTACTGAAACAATAGGTCTTAAGTGCGCTTTCATCCCTTTAGTCTATAGTATATCCATTCTATTGTTCTACTTAAGCTTCATTGATGGCCACTTTCCTCTTTTTTAGATTTTTTTTTTCCTGTGAATTTCCAGACTTTGAAATCTGTATTCTTTTAAAGAGCTGTTCAGCCCTGGCTTTTCTAGTTTCAAATGACTATTCACCACATGTACATACGTGTGTGCGCGCACATACATGTACGCGCACACACACACACACACTGATAGGAGACTTAA